AACCCCATTGAACACAAATTTGTGTATCAAATGGTCCTTTAGGTATACATATATACTCAACCTGTCACTGCGTCGGCCACGTCGAACTCGAAAGGTTTCCAGACACCGCAGCCCTGTTCGACTTCGCAGTCCGACTTCGCAGCACCGAAACCGACCGAAACTTTGATGTGGTCGGAATCTTCGTAGCACCGAAACCCACCAACCAGCTTGACATGTGTTCATATGTGTTCTATTTTTTCCAAACAAGTCCAACTGTCCACATCGCTCAGAAAAGAGTGGGTCTCCCATGGCTTGGTTCGCAGCATGCCACAACGAATGACTGGGGTTCAGCTTTCCTCTCAGCCTCCTGGACCTCCTGGGCCTCCTACCGCCGGGTGCTTCTTCGAGACTTCTGAATGGCTCGATCTGCAAGCCCTGCGGTCGGGCGAAGCACATTGATTTGGATCCCCAACGGAGCAGCAAAACCATTCAGGGCGATTACAACTCCTCAGCCATGACGAATTCCTGATGCTTTGCATAAAATTATTTGGGATTCAAGTCAAGAGTTCTGAGAAGCGTTTAGCTGAGATCCTAAAGGATTTGTAAATTGTGAGGGTACATTCAACCCCAATGGTGGATAATGGTGGTGTGCTGCACATACAACGTATAAACGACACAAAATAGTGGTGGATAGGGAAAGCGTCATGATGCATCATGCAATGTATTCTGAACTTACTGTAGCTCATGGTCAGTCACCATCCCATCTCTGCCAAATACATACATCTACAATCATCTACATGTTAAAGACCAGAACATTGCGGTGGCAGTTGAGAAAATGGTCGTCCTCATACCTGGTAGGTTCTACCAACTTGTTCACGACGCAGGCATTCCATGATCTTGGATAATTGACAGTTTGTTGCGGGCTCCGATGAGACGCTTGAGGCTCAAGTGATAGATCAATGCCAAGCCCTTCTTGGGAAGTACCATGAAGTACCCTCTCTCCAACAAACATGGAAGTGGACAACCCCTCTCAGTAGAGGAAAAGTGGTTTCCTATTGTCCACTGCCACGAGTGTTACTGTTGGAGGGGGAGTAGGGGGAGTATATACCCAGAAAAAACATGAGAAACCAACATCTAAGAATCGTCCAACCAGATCTTTGCTCATCTCAGATGGACCATCCCCCAGGCTCTGGTTGCTTGATACCCAACATCCAATCACAGCATGACATGGTCTTCCAAATGAAAGTCAAAGCCTAAAGACCCAAGAACGAGCTGCTGGTCTTCGGTTTTATGGAAGTCTGGAGGTTTTATAGCCCTGGATTCATCCGCCACACAGTGTTGGTTCGCTCAAAGTGGTGTGATCAATCGCGTGCTTCGTTTCACAAAGGATTGCGCTCAGCCACCGGAAAAAGGTGTGGCAGTCATGTAGAAGCGAACGAAACATTGACACATTGCCGTGTGTCACATTGACATTTTTTTCGCTTGGTGGCGCAACCCAGACAAAGAGTAACAACCCATAACATACCAAACAACATGACCCAGTACAGGTGGTACCAGTGTGAGTCTCATCCTCCTCATCGATCTGGTCGAAGATGAGAACTGCACTACTACTCGAAGCATCCTCCTTTTGTACCCTGCCACATACTTACTTCCCCAAGGTGGTAGTCTATGCTCTTAGGCAGTTCGTGAAACGAACGCCAAGTCATGCCCCGCCACCTCTGCATCCCCGCACGTTCCGTCTGGAAGCACCGGGTTGCCCGGGCTCAAGTGGGGCACGGTGAGGCTCCAAAGCTCCGAGGAGGCCACCACCGAGCGCCAAGCAGCACACACCTTGATTCAACGCGCGCTCGGAAAAAATGGGCAGGCGAGTCCGGATAGTTTATGCTTATGCTCATGTGGTAATCTTGGTATTCTTTGGTATGAGAAAAAACGACCTGCATTCTGTCTCCTCATAAAAGGGCATGTGCCGGCCTTCATCGGCCTTCCGCGATCCAAGTCCCGTCGCAGGCTCAACCAAATTCGTCATCAACAAAGACTTGCTGGGGTAACGGGATTCCCAGCGTGTCGGCCCTCAGGAGCGCGGCATGATTCATGATCTCAGCCCAAAGCTGGTTTCATAGCCTTTGACAAGTCACTTATTTCTCATGAAATCACTCAAACAAAACAAAGGACAATGAACAATGGAAAAGAACACATTCTCTAGTGGTCTTTTGTTTTGTTTGAACGATTTCGTGAGAAATCCGGCAACACGTGAACCTACTCACATCAAAGTGGAACGGACCCAACTTGAAGGAGGAATAGTCCAGCTTGCTACTAGGGGCTCCTGGCATCGCTACTAGGAGCAAGGACGCTACTAGCCCTGTTGCACCAAACCATTGTTTCTTCCTTTCTTGCCTCCGAAAGGAACTCGTTCCTTTCGGGCACGTACGAACAACGTTCCTTTCGCTCAAATCCATGTGCCATTCAAACCCATGTTCCACAGGTTGAAACCTTCCGTAAACACCCAGGTGTTGAAGTTGATGCCACCATGCCTGACATGCCTGACATGCCTGGCAGAAGCCCATGTCCTGCCAAGTCGCGGCGGCGGCGCTCAGGAGATCCTGCACCTGGCGAGATCTCAGGAGAATGAGTAGAAATTAGAACAATGTCACAGCAGGTATTAGTCAATCAAGCGTTTCCCAATCCAAGGTAGTTGAGCAAAAAGGACCCAAATGCATCCAGCCGTCTTAGTTTGGATGTCTATCATGATCTATCATGAATCATGAGCCGCTGGGAATTGAAGCTGTGAGTGGCTGTGAACTACAGGGAATCGTTGATTTACTGTACATCTCCCTGGGTCTCTGTATGTCCCGCCCATGAATGCCACACCGTTCTCGGGGTCGACCACTCTTGCAATCGGGCGTCTCATGCGGCTGACTGGCAAGTAAGGTGATGAGCATCTCAGAACAAAAACTGAACTTGCAGCGTGGTTCCGACGTGGTATCTCAACATCAACAGCCGAGAAAACGGATGCATCAGGTAGGGTCCCCAAGTAGCAAGAGGATTCTTCCATGCTGCTGCTACTATATCTCATATCTCTAAGAATTCCGCACGCAGTTGAAATGCAATTTCATGATACAAAGATATACAAAGATAATATCCGACCAGTCCACGCGGATGCTGTCCAACAGCACCAAACAGGAAATGTAATGCCCCGCACCTTGTCAACTGTTCTGGAATGCTTGTGTATCCGTTCGCAAAATCTTACCTTTGCAAATTCTTGACTGATCAAAGTGGCACAAAATGTCACAAAATCGTGTTACGATACCTGAGAGTGAATAATGTTAAATAATGTCAATAATCCTCATGTCACACCAAACAACCCACCATGTCCACCATACCCGAAGCCTTTCAATGGATGGGCATTCTCAGAAGCTAGCAGTATCTTAAGGCTTTTCACGCAGATGCGTCATCCTCCGAAACCTCGAACGTGTGGGTGGCAGGCCTCCAAGTGCGCTAAGCTCTCGAGCAGGCTCACTGTAGGCAGAAGGGGCCCAAACAGCGAGCCTCAACATCCCAGTCGGGCCCTGGAAGAATGCCCAAGTTCAAATGTGTGTGTACATCCCAAACCATCCCAAACCATCCCAAAGCCATTGGTTGGGAGGTCAGGGGATTATTCTCATAAGCTATGACTCATCCAAATTCGAGTCGCTTTGACCACCCGAGTCGCATGATTCCTGGTAGGTTCGTGAAAGGCCTATCCAGCCGAACTCGAATGTGAAAGGGGCGACTTTCGTCAACGTCAATGGAGATTCAGGAGCCGCTTCGTAGGCATATAGTGATTATATACAGTATATAAGTATATGTTATATAGTATTTTTTTGGATTTGCCCCAACGTGGACTTGCCTTGCTGTGTGGAACACATGAATGCACGATTAGCAGACTGCAGGCACCTCTTTTTGATGATATGAGTCATGAGTGTTGTTCAAACGTAATAAAACATCATCCTTCCGAAGCAAGTGGAACTCCAATCCTCCTCTTGGTGTATACGCCGTATGCCACCTGTATACTCTTTTCCCTTATGCGTGCGTTTCTGTGTCTCCAAAGCTCAGTCTTGGCTCAGAGTCTTGGCTCGGTCCGGCTGTCAGCACGAACAGTCTGACTGTCACTACAGAGAGTCCACTGACTCACTGACATGGAAGTGCAAAGGGCCTACTTTCCTTTGGAAAAAAAAAAATGAGGTTTTTCACTTCCATGTCAGTGAGTCGGAGGGTAAAACTGTTTGAGGTGAATGGAGGTCGTGGATCAAATAGACACCTTGTCTTACGAAACAAATCCAACGTGCCTGGACATGAGGTGGCCTCAGCATCGCATAGAGCTGGCCTTGGCTATCCCTGAAGCTTGAAAATCCAGCTGGAATGGAAAGCACACCATTCTCTTCCAGTTCTTTTCAAAACTAGGAAAAGCATGGAAAAGCTGAGCTTCACACTCTGAAGATTGTGGATTGCCTGCATCCAGTGGTGCACACACCCATTAAAATTATGAGACCCCCTGATTGCTTCGCAGTCATTTGAAACGTTATCCCGTGTGCTCCAGGCTGTGCCAGTCTGGTCAAAGTGGTGGATGGGTGCTGAGATGAAAATGGTTCTTTCGTGTCAAGTTCGTCAAAATACCCTTGTACCTAGAATTTGCAACATATTTTGTTGCGCGATGAGTCGATGAGGAATCGGTTACTATCCTATAGATCAAGAACCACTGGTGAATGTCTAAGCCGGAGCTTTGGTAGAGCGTGTTTGTCAAGCGTGTTGGTCGTTCTCGGAATGAAGGTGGGGAATGAAGGTAATACCCTCAGCTGGTACCACGGTACCACCATGTAAAGCCCACCCAGACTCTTACCTGCTGGATCCCCTCCTCTCCCAACCTCCTTCTGTGAAACCCACCTCCAACGCGATCCTCGTCCTCCACCACGCGGCGCCGTGTGGGCCGCGGCAGCTTGCGCGGAGTCTCGGCCTCTGAGAAGACATCATCACCGGCACATACCGGCCCTGGACATGGGGCCTTGGACTTTCTTGGGGTTGGAAAAGAAAACACCTATTTGGGGGGTTGAAGACACCTAAAACCGGAATGAGACAACCATGTTTCATCATGTATGAAACCAGTTGCTGGCAACATGGGACGTGGGTTTGTGTGGCAACCAGCCAGTGGAGGTCTCTGCGGACCGCCTCGAGGAAGAGTGGTGGAGTCCGCGAGACCCGCGCCACCCGCGCCTGGGACCAAGATCCGTTGGCGCGGCAAGATCGGCGTGGCGAAACGAAAAGAGAATGCCACTGTAAAGATCGGCTTGAAGATTTAGCCGTCTAAATTCCTGTTTGCCAAGGCATGTGCGTACAGTTGTTTCTTATGTAATTAAAGCATCCAACCTGTGCTGGGACCTCTATCAACCTTGAATCGTTTCTCAGATTGTACATGACTACGCAGGCCACTTTCCCTGCATCCAAGCTCCGCTCGATTTTCTTTCAAAAGGTCTGAAATTCCTGGCATTAAAATTAGAATCGCTCATATAAGAGCTAATTACCCTCAAACAACAGTGATATACTGTTTGGATAGGAGTGAAGCCCCTTCTATTCTAGAGGGAAGGAGCGTACTAACTTCACTTGACTCTCAGTCTTGGCTTAAAAAGCACATCCAATTGATCTCACTTTGTTGAAACTCTGAGGTTGGCATCTCAAAGCAAAACAAATCCTCTCTTGAGAAGCATGAAGCTTCACCCTCTTTTCTTCCACCGGGACTTGTGACTGGTGTTCCAAAAAACGCAAGTGCGAAAGCTCCCAGATTGCATTGATATTTCCATAGAAACAAGAAGCTATTAGGAACAAGTGCATCGCTACTAGTAGCAGGTGCCTTACTAGTAGTAACAAGAAGCTATTAGGGATTCTGATCATTCCAAAAGCTCCACCGAGTCCCTCCGGGTCCCCTCCGGATCCATCTCCCACCGGAGGAAACGGCATGGCGACGTGTGTGCGTCGCGGTGAAGGGCTCCGTTTGAGGCTATCGGGCCAACGACTGACGGCCAAAAGCGAGACGGTGCTTGGCCAACTGGTGAACACGGCTTGAGAAACCTCATCCGGTCTGTGCTCTCTGGGTTCTTTGCAGTTTCAAACCATGTAGAGGTGTCCTGCATCAGTGCCCCAATTTGCCTCGTTTGGAAGATTGATAGGCCCTCAAAAAAGATCAAAACAGGTGATTTCTTCCATAGTCTGGCCCTTTCAGGGATGGCTGGTGGCTGAGGAGTGTGGGGCCATTGAGAATATCATATCTCCAAAAAAGAATCCAGATAGGCCAGCCCTTTTCTCAAACCCTTTCTACAGCCTCTGCAGCCTCTTTTCTACACGGTTCGCGGAGGGCGAGTGGATGTGGTTTTCCATCCAGTGCCAATGCTTGGTCTTTTGCGCATGGGGAAGCGCGGGACTGCAGAAAACCAACATGGAACCTCTGGACTCTGCATGTCTTCTATCGGGGGCGGAAAACTTTCCTCGCCTTTTCACCGTGGCTACGAGCTGCTGCCCAAGAATCAGTCTTCAAAGGACTCTCTGGTGATCCACACAGTAAGTATATATCGTAATATAAGTATATAAGTAAATCAATTTCTCAACCGGAGAACTGAGGAGTCCGACGTTTCATTGTTTCATTGAGATCATCATACAGCAGGACGTTTGCACTTGAACATCTCCGAACGTTGCTCAAAAACAAGTCGAGGACTCACCCAGGGCATGGCAACAAAACTAAATTAAGCTGCATTGCTTTAAACAATTGACGTATGCAAATCACTTGTCTGCAAACTGCAGGCTAATCAACAGGAGCGCACACTTGTTGAGAACATCCTAATCCGGTTCCATGTCAGTTTTCAAGCGAGTTCTCTTCGGCTCAGCTCGGTTCAAAGCCTTTGCCCTGCACACACAGTCTGCGACAGTTGTTTTCAGAGGTAAAAAAAGGAAGAAGCAAGGATGCGAATAGCAGTACCAAAGCGGATCCATGAATCGCATCCCCTTGATACTAGCACAGAGGGGTCGTGCAACCCATTTTCTAGAGAATCATCTACTGTATAGTCTATAGATCTTTTCTAGAGTTATAAAAAAATCTGTCATTTGGTAAGGCCAGAATCCTTGATTTAAAAAAGTCAAAAAAAAATGTCAAATGGAAAAGTCAAAGTCAAAAAAATGTCAAATTGAAATGAAAAACAAAAAAAAAAAACGTCAAAAATAGACCACTGCTCGAAAAAGTAAAAAAAAAAAAACACTAAAAAAATCTAAATTACAAAACAACTCGAAAAAGTCAAACTAAAAAGAAGAAAAAGTCAACCACTCGAAAAAGTCAAAAAAAAAGTCGAAAATGTAAAAGAAAATCGAAAAAAACTAGTCAAAAAATAAGTCGGATCTGGGCATTTTTTTTGTTTTCTGAAACTTTCTGATTTGACATTTTTGTACTTTGACTTTTGGGACTGACTTTTTTTGATTTGTTTGACTTTTTAAAATTTTGAAAACAGGCTCTCTCCAATGAAATATGTTTGTAATTCTAGAGGGAAATACCAACAGGGATTGAATCGCTATGAGTCACCACCTTTGGTGGCGGTCTGAGATCATGTCCGATGACGAGTGGAGCTCTACACCCCCGCGGAACCATCCCCGTATCCTGCTCTCCACTCCAAGATTCCCCCCGAGATCCGCCTCAAGCAAAAATCTTGGAGATCTCCTCCTGGTGCGACGAGGTCAGACGTGAAAGCGCCCGGTTCACCGGCTGTGTAGTACCAAACAGCTCTGCAATACCCAAAAATGGCTCCTGCTGCGCACCTGTGAGGGTTCGTGGAAAGACCACCTGTGAGGCTCGCAACATTCTAAACATGGCCCTCCAACCTACTAGCAATGGCCTCCACCCTAGTAACAAGGGCCTCCACCCCAGTAGCGATGGCCTCCAACCTAATAATAGCGATGAAGCAACAACGGATTGTATCACTCTTCAGTGTCGCTGGTCTCCTGAGACAATGTGTTTGCGTGCGTTTTGCTCGCTCGTATACCATGCTGAGCAAGCTCCTGCGATGTCCATCGCTCCTTCCGAAACGAGCCTACCAAACCACACGAGCCTGTCCATGCACCGTTTTATGTCTTCAATATCTTCAAGGTGGAGTTTGGTCCGGTATTGGCAGAAACTCCACAATCGCTAGGACACATGCCATCTTGATGTGTGAAAGCCATGACAAAATACAGGTCCCTTTTCCCTTAATGCATTCAAAACCCATATGCATCTTGGGTCTTTGACAAGGAAAGTAAGACCAATAAATAAACTAAGGCCGCCGCTTCGGCGTACACGTACAAGTCACCAAAGCTCGCTGGATCCTGGCCGCACACCCATCACCCGGCTGAGGCAACTCGATGGCTCTGTGAGAGATACTGATGGCTCTTCAAGCAACAATGACAATGACTTGATACTGTGGAGTTTGATCCTTTCTGCCCTGACCTTTAGGACCGTGTCAAATTGGACTGGTCAGTCCCACGTCTGGTCAGCTGAACTGAAAAAGCTGCGAATAAGTGCGCTGCATCCCGTAGTGGCATGCCCTCGCCCTTGACCTGATCGAAGACAGGTGGGTACCAAATGGTGCCCACGTTTTGGCTCTGTAAACTGCTGGACACTGAAGAATCATGAATGATTCTTCGCCAGTCAATAGATGTTCACCCCTGCTGCTTCAGGGCCCTAGGTCTCGCTACATTGAGAACATGATGGTGGTACATGGTGGTACGGCCTCGCGAATCTCAACATCCGTGGCTGTGGCTTATCAACGACCCCGCCTTGATGACTTGAAACGGCTTGGTCACGCTGTCAGTGCCGATCTCAATGGTATGGCCGTCCATGTGTCTGGCAGTCCAAGGTCACACTGGTTTGCATCCGACACGCGAAAGATCGCGACCAGGTGTAACACTGGCGTTTCTGAAGAACTACGTTGGCACGGGTTTTTGTTCCAGGTCCAAAATGCCAAACCGACTCTCTGCAGAACGCGATCGCTCTGTTTCTCCAGAATCGCTCTGTTTGTCCGACGGAGAGAGGTTCCGGTCGGAGAGTGTCCTGAACCGGTGTCGGCACCTGATGGTCTTGGTCCATCCCAACAAAGACTCTCGGAGCGTCACCTGCGGCGGTGTCCGGAAGCCGGCGGTGTCGCCGTCACCGCCCGGAGGGGGGACCGAAGCGGTGCGTCGCTGCCTCCGTTGGGTTCGGAACATTAGGCAAAACAGGAAAAAAACATTTCCCTCATGTGTCCAGAACAGTTTTTTGATGTTCTGCGAACAGTTTTGGACACATGATAAGAACAGTTTTGGATGACAGTTGTTCTTATCTGTTCTTAGTCAGCCAAAACATGCCAAAAGATAAGTCTGATCTGGTTGAAGCTTAGTCTCTCCTGTCGGTCTGCCGTGTTCGTCTGACTCCGAATCAGCTCGAATCAGACTACGAAATCGACATGACCCGGGGCTAGGCCGAGTTCCGAGTCCTGCAGAGAGTTCTCGCCCCGGCCCCAAAGGCCGAAGCTTGACCAACGGGTGGTTGGTCCATGTTCCTTCTCGGGTGTCTGTCCCCCATGGTCCCCCTATTTTAACACACACCCATATAAGCCTTTCTTCCAACATTCTATAATAATAGTGAACAAAACAGGTGCTTCATCCATTCCAGGTGCTCCTTCCCATGCGCACTCAGTCTTCTCAGCATGGACCGTCAACCGTTATCTGCATATTTTATATATTTTAGTCAGCTTCCCACCTTGGTCTTCATGTGGAGGTCATCTCCTCGCCGTTCAAACCTCTCGTGCTTGGCCACCTCAGCAAGTCCATCCGACGCGCGAACTGGCAACTGGCTAAACAGCCTCTTGCCTACAGGCTTCTAGCCGGGCCTAGCCAAATGTGTTGGAAGGCTAAGTGCTGTCCGGGTCTACAGCTAAGACATGAGAAGGCTTTCATCCAGCAGTGGACACCCAAATCTCGCCGAAGTCTTTGAACACCAAGGACGGCTGTGCAACCGGTTTCGTGACATTGGTTCTCTAAGTCTGTGAAATTTGAAGTCTGTCCTTGGAGTTCCAGTACGTCTCCGAAACTTCAGTCGTAGCTTGAGTCGGTTGTTCCGCCCTCAACCTGCAATAGATCCATGCTTACCTGCTCGCCATGCGCTGCGATGTGTGAGGTGTCGCCTCCAAGCAATGTGTGAGTCTCATGGAGATACGTTGGTCGGCCATAATGACCGATGACGCCGATGAGGCTTCCCACCTTCAGCGTCAGGATCATTGCACCAGGGATTGTGCCTGGCCTGGGTAGCAAATGCATCCAAATGCAGCTGAGAGGTACAAAACTCTTCAATAGTGACTCTCAGTAACTACCATTTCTACTCTAACCCTGTCAAAACCACTTCGCTCCAAACCCGCAGCTTTCTGGGTCCTGAATATACAGGAACAAAGGAACGAAAATGCCACGTGTCTTGATAGCTGCGCAGGAACAAGAACGCTACTAGGGGCTCCTGGCATCGCTACTAGGAACAAGGACGCTACGAACGGAGCAAGACCCTTCTGCTGGGTGGACCTTCTCCACCATCCGCCCCACCGTGTGACTGCCTCTGATCCGTCATGCGGGGGAAGGTTAGGCTCTCTCCATCGCGCATGCCCTGCGCTGACAGGCTTGCACGCTGAAAAAGGGAAAGCTCGGAAAATGAAAGGAGAAGAAATGGTCATTGGCATCCATATGGCAGAAAGAATGTTTGGGAAAAATCCTTGTCGCGAGGGGGTTCGAATTTCATGTCGAATTCCTATGAGATTCCTATGAGGTTGAGATCTGTTTTCAGGGCAGCTACCCCCTCTCAGATTCTCAGATGGCCCATTTACGCCAGGCCAGGCCAGAAGTGTCTCGATGTCGTCGTGGCGGAAGCCAGCTCGTGGCGAATGGGGATGGGACACCGATCTGGGAGCCTCCACTTCCTTCAGCGGAGCACATACAGATCATGATGGCATATCCATATCCGCATGCAATCCATGTTGAGTGAATGTGTGGAAGGTCTGCAAACGCTAGAAAATATTAGAAATCATCCCATGATTCTCAGAAACACCACTAAAAAGCTAAGCTATTTTCGCAGTCATCTCTAAAGATCAAACACAGGCACTTCTTAGTGTCCTTGTTTTACAGCCACTTAGCATGAAACTTGACAAAATAGATGGACTCTTGACAAAACCTGATTGAATCCGGGAATACCGCAGTGTTTACAGCTATGTTTGATGTGCTTTGTGGGCTATGCCGCTATGCAAATCAAAGCTGGCAATCCATTTTGAGTGGCTTGATTCGCCCCCCCAAAACAATGCCCCCATCGCATGGCCACCGGTTTCTCGTGCCCTTCAGTGCGAACAACACCCCACGCTCTCTGGGCCTTTTCGATCTGAGCATCAATCACGGCCATCTCTTGCTTGCACTTCTCTTTGCCTCGAAGAACGTCCGTGTTTTTTCATGTTTTTTCGCCCAAACTCGCAGAGGCCAAGAGCAGAAGGCGTAGGCCCGGCGTAGGCGCAGGCGTGTGCGCTCTGCGTGTGCGCTCTGCGTGTGCTCGTTTTCCAGGCCAAATGGGCTGGAAAACAGCATGAACATCGTTTTGCGGCTAGTGACTAGTGCTTTTCTGCTTCTGACTTGGGCATACTTGGGCGATGCTTTCTCTTGCAGGTTGTTGCAGAGCTTGTCTATTGAAGGCTTCTCAAAAGCCACACTTGGGTTCGAACATCACCAAACTTGGGTTGTGGATGTGGACGATGGTCCCAAACACCAAGAGAGTTTATATAACTCCTTTTTGACTCTTGGGCGATGTGTGGAAGCCAGGAAATGAGCAGAGGGAGGGTGCCAAGATTGTAGCTGCTGATGGGATGTTCCTTGTTCCAGCTCAATCACGGTTCTTTTGGTCAAAATCAAGGTGGCTGCACCTCGAAGCTCTTTCATCCATTGGACTCTGGTGGTCAATCTCTACGTGGATCAAGTAGAGATCTTGAGATGGAAAAGAAAGAATGAAAGACTGATGGGTTATCCAAAAAAACATCGATCATCATCGATCATCATCGATCACCCGATTGTTTCAACGCACCAAATGTGTGGGTTGAAAGCGTAAGGCCAGTCTCGCGGTGGTCCCCTGAGCTGCTCGCTGGGGACTTCTTCTTGCTGCTGCATAAACATGCCAGGGCCAACCTCCAGCCACGTGTGGCATCACCAGCAAACAGGTCAGCCAGCAGGAGCTTGGGAAAACATCAGGAATACAGAGAAATGAATCCCTTTCTGAGACATTGAGACGATCAAACAATACCTATCATAATCTATCTATGTGCTGAAGGGCATGACAAAGACCTGGGTCACATAGACCCCTTGGCTGTTTGGTGCTATTTAGTCTTTGCGTTTGAAAGGAGAGGACGTGTTTCTCCACGTTTCTTCTGCTCCGTATACCAGCATGCCACCAGCAAAGTCTAGACAGCTAAGAGGTTGGACCAAAAACGACCGGTCAAAAGACCGGCCAAGAGGCAAGAACAGCTGCTTGACTTGGCCAATGTGTGGATCAAATCAGTTGTGTTGATGGTTTCAGCGAGATCTACTGCAGCTGAATTCTGCGGGTTCACAGCGTGAAAAACCGGTGGACTTGAACCCCGATTCTGTCCCGCCTGTCGGTTCACCATCCTGCACAGGGAGATGAGATCAGGTGATGTATAATGATGTATAATGTGATCATGTCGGACGTTCACGGTGCCCGGGACCAAACATATCATCCTTATACGATTAGGGCAGACACCCCCAATCAAACGAAGAAAAGAAGTGAAGCCGAGCAGTTGCACATTGCCACTTGGGAGGGGATGTTAATACAATCAGTTCAACAGGGGTGCTGCTATAATGCATGCTACTGAGCTGCTATTGGACAACACAAACACGCTCTTCCAGCCCTTCCAGCCCTTCACCGCCTGGCCTCACCTCATTGGGACCTCGCTACGAGAACCCTCGGAACCCTTCGGAACCCTCCGAGCATCGGAGACCAACGGAGCTTCGACTGGGTGAATTCATCGGACGAGTGGCTGCTTGAATTGGCTACATAGATCCTATTCCGATTGCCACAAGCCCCGAACGTAGCGTCCGATTGCTCCTAGTAGGACGGCCAGGAGCCCGTAGTAGAGAGAAACAAGAATAGGATGGCTAGTTGCAAAAGGTGTGATGTTTCAGTGAGAGACACGGCGTGCGTCTCGGTCTAGACCACGCGACACGTGCTTCTTTGTGTCTTCAAAGTTCCGCGTGGTCCGAGCACCGACAGGACCTGAAAGTGTTGGTGCTCTGCAATCAAGGAAACTCGAATTCTGTATCCCATCTGGGATGCTAGAAAATGACTATAATGGAGCTCTCTCGGGAATTACTGAGAGGACGCTAGTCCACACCCACGCAAAAGTTCCAAGCTCGTGAATATCACCAGTCCAAAGGGCCTTTCAAACACGCAAGAGACACCAGCGAGATCCGACAAGGGCAGAACATCTGCCAGAGGCGCCCCGCTGCTACGCATCGCTACGCAAGTGCCATTGAGGCACTGCCCCTTGGAGCTGCAAAGTATTCTGTGACATTCTTCAGATCTTCATAGCCATGCATCTGTGAACTTCACCGGTTATATGGAACTTCACGGGTGACGTGGATCCAACTAATTACCTTGGCCCTGTGACATGGTGGGGGCCCTTGTCTGACGACGACTTGGAGTCTATCTCTGCGGACGATTTCGCACCGCAGTGACTCGCTGAACATCCACCGGTGCACGGCTCACGGCTCCGTCCGGGCAGGTGCTCCTGGCGCGCCGGTGGGCGATGCCGAGATGTGAGGCGTGCGTTCGATCCGCCAACACGAGAGGTCAGTAGTCAGTAACACAAAAACTCATGTCTAAAAAACAAACGTACTTATACATTAATATAACATAACCAATAAAAGCAACCAAACGTAGAAACAACTAAACGACGTCGTTTTTGGTTTGGAGACGAGACGATTTCGTCCTGCTCTTCATGCAGCATGGTCAAACCTCAGATGGCTGAGGGCTTGCTATATCATGCTATATCAATGTATAACTAACACTATATTTATGTCAAAGAGAAAACACTGTGCAGTGTGCTGTCAAAGCTATCTGCCATTCTCTGGTCAGGAACTCGGCATCGAGTTGTCCAATGATCAATGCACGCACGTAGGTGTCCTCAGCCGCCAAGGCTTGCAGCGCCTTTCGCCGCGATTCTGGGTCCTGAGCGGAAGTGCGGGTTGTCAAATTTATTAATCCCTTTCTCCCCATAATATCCGCCTTATCCCTCTATCTCACCGTACATGAACGATTTCTCTCCCCCGTCTCTCTATTTTTGCGTGCTCTTTCTCCCCTTCTCGCTCTATTTCTCGCCTCTCTTTCTCTCTCCTTAGCCTTAGCCTTAGCCTTAGCCTTAGGCCTTATCCTTAGCCTCAGACCTAGTCCTTAGCCTTAGACCTAGACCTTACCTCCCCTACCCCTCCGGACCCTTGTTGCAGTGACGAAATCCTGCCCTAAAAGCGACCGGATGGTGACCTGGATTGTCCAAGATTCTGCCATCCCAATTGATTTACATCTTGGGGCACCCTCTCGACCCGCGCGGGAAAATAAGCACGGTCCAAAATGGTCCTGGGCTCGAATCCCGGGCTGGTCGCGGCATGGTCCCGGCCAATG